AGGAAAAAGGTTATCTCGATGGAGATTTTTTGGAATTTTTCTTGTTTCACGTAATCCCCTCACCGTTTCACACATCACGATGCTGTACCCTGTTGGAAGATTAAACAAAGGACAGGATGGTCCTGAACGCTAAAGGAAAAGATGGCCTACGGAATGAATGGAATGGGTAGCACATAAGTCTACATATATGGAATCGCTGGTGTAACTCGTCCTCACGTGGGCGAGGCAACCTCCACAGGTGGCGTTCCTTCGGCTTATGACGAGGGACTAGTGACTGTCTTTAAGCGGCTGTAGAGTGGGTGACGAAGGTCGCATGCGCCCGTTGCCGCAAACAGTAAAGGGCCATACTTCCCAATCGCGGGAAAGTAGGGTTGCAAAGGGGGGGAGGTGGATAATGTACCCAACATCCGCACCAGGACGCGACCCATCCACTATAGCTATGAAGCCACGTACGGCATACCGCAGCTGGAAAGTAAGGCATTGTTCAGATTTTGCGATGGCAGCGTTTGGATCGCGCGTTCGACGCGATCGACGCAGTAGAAAGCATGAGCATCGATCGCGCCGAGCGCGCGATCGAAGCGCTGCCCTCGCGAAATCTCAACGCTACCTAACGCTCCACATCCGCCGCATAAGTGGGGCAACCTTCAGATTGTGAGCTAGACTACCTAGAAGGGGTTAGATTCTCACCATCGAATGGAGGAGTCTGTCTGCGAAGATTTGCATGGATCACACGAAACGAACTGCTCCAAAATCAAACCTGCTAGAGAATAGTTGACGAAGAACGACGAGCCAGGCATCTTCCACACATTGTGATTTGACGGCTTCCATTCCACTTCTACGGTGTCCAACGTGATATTTCGAATGTAGAACACAGGTGGGTCGGGATCTAAAAAAATGAAACTCAACTGGCATTTACTACATTATTATCTGGAAAAATCGTCCCGCCGCTTTTTCTCGGCAGAGCATTCATTCCACATATTGGTCAGTTTGTTCATCACAGAAGGACAGGAGAAGACAGGGTGTGTGACTTTACTATCTCTTTTGAGCGAGCAGGTTACCCTGTGAGATCTGCTAAGAGCATTTTATAGCACCGGTTGTTTTCCTATTAGTAGCCGCCTCTATATGTAGAAAACGTGAAAACTCCTCTCACGCCTTTTGACACTCCCCGCCCCCTCCCCCCTCCGGATTGCGACAGTTTCACTACAGAGCTTGCCATCGCTTTCCAGCCGCGGTAGAGTAAATGTTTACAGAGAAGAACAGGGCTGGATACTGTATCTTTGCCAAGAGCCCATATCTGGAGGAATATGATACGGGCGTGTCTGAGAATAATGTGATCACTGTCCTACTCCTTGATGGACAAAGAGAGCCAGAGACAGTAGAACTGAATTAACTTTACGGCGTCAGGAAGAGGTGCAATTCTATGATTTGTTCATCAACTTCTTCACAAGAGGACCTCCCGTGAGCAGTACTGGGAAGCGGGTTATATACGAATCTTTTCTGCATTTCATTCACTACCCGCAAACATCGCTGATGGCAGAACTCGGCTGGCGGGCGAAAACAACCCGCCGTCACCTGTACCCCACTCATCCGCAGCGAGAAATAAAAAACAGAACTGTAGAAGCTGTTCAACAAACGTTTTTTTTCGAGGAGCCAATATTTTATGCGATTCAAACTGTAACGACTACTTTCCTCGAGTTCCACGATTCGCAACTGGTCGAAGTCGATCATCGTCTCCTCTACACCAGCACTGTGTTATACTCCCCAAACAGAAAACCGATATCAAGATGTCGAAGTGGGTGTGAAGATTTGTCTAATATAGCAAGACCCGTTTGTCTGTGGTGGGGACGTACGATCGCTCTTCTCAGTCTCATCTGAAATTTTATTCTTGTCACTCTGCTCTGCTTCATCCATTCATTCTGGGCCACCCTGATAGGCCCACACACAAGCGTAAAATCGATACTCTTTTAGGCGATGAACTGAGCGCAGCGCAAATTCATAAGGTCAACAACAAGTGTAGTACATACTTTTCTCGTTCTCGAACGATAAGAAGTAGCCCCTTATCAGACCATTCGGATGTCTGGGAGGTTCCCAAGTCGCAAGAATAGCATGGGCTCCAACGGCCATTACACGTAAATTGTGCACTCTTGACGGTACTGAAAAGCATACATTAAGTATCTTAGAGGGGCAAAAATAACCATGAGCAACTCACGTCCTTCAGGGGTTGTAACATGAACGGCTGGACTTGGTTCACTACCGTAGCGACGATTCTTGGTCCGGATCACTGCTGTATAGTTGGAATTTGGCGCAAGAGTGGTAATCGTCTGAAGTGGAACCCGTTGTGAAAACGATAACAAAAATGACGGAACAGCAAAATTACCTTCTCGGTTTCATTCGGCTGCAGCATAACACGGTATTTTCGCGCTGGGAGAAGATCACGCCAGAATTCTATCTGGAAATCTCTTTGTTAAAAGCAGTTCACCATTGGTTGAGGTCTCTACGATTTGTCGGCAGTTTTCACGAGTTGAAATAAGATCAGTAGGATTTATTAGGAAAAACTGAATTCGGTGCAGCTGGACGACGGGGGGGGGGGCATTCTTGCTCTCTCGCTACTTCCCATCGACGTGTCGACCTATCTAGACAGCCTCTTCTCGAGTTGACAGGTTTTACCATGATGGCTTGACGACCTTGTTCCAGCTTCACAAGAGTTCACAGGTTTCGCCAGAGTGAGACTGTAAACCGGAACTAAGGAAGCAATGATAGTACAAAATGCATCCCCCCCTCCCCCGTGGTCAAGCTGCGCCTTTGAATTCAAGAATGAAAAGAAAAGATTAACTATGAAAACGATTAACTTTGATAGGTATCAACTGGAATTTCTGACGCAAGTAAATGACTGGTTGTAGGAGGATGCGTTCTGAAAAGCAGGCAGCAAGGATTCCAGTCGGCCGGTGTGACTCCAACCCTACTCTGTAATGAGGGTCCAGACGTTGGCAAGAATTTCTTCTAGATACGACCTCACTCCCCAAATTTTCTCTTCCAGTACGACCCTCCCTCACTCCTCCTCAAGCTCTTAACAAACCTCTCAAAACTCGCTTCCGAGCAGGGGGAGTGGTGGAGGGCTACACACCTTGAATCAGCTATCAGAAATACTAGGGTGGTGTACATACTACGCGC